TTGTGACAATGTATTACCATTGGAGTTGAGGGATAAAAATAATAATATAGTACTTTGATGCCATTACGGGACTGTATATAATTTGCCAAATCGACTTGATATAAATCGTTAGGCTACAGATAAAGATATGGATTGTATACTGTGTGTATGTAAATACATAGACTATATGTAGAGCAATTTATAGACTAAATGAAGTTTAATATATAGACCGTGTGTAAGTAAATACATAGACCATATTACTGTAGATAACTATTGACTGTATGCAGGTAATATATAGACAGTGTGTAGGTAATTTATAGACTGAATGTAGGTTTATATATAAACTATGTAAGTAAATATAAAGAATATATATAGGTTAATAATATATAGACTGTATGTAGGTAATATATTGACTGAATGTAGGCAATTCATAGACTGTTCGTAGCCTAATATATAGACTATACTTAAATAAATACATAGGCCTATACTGTAAAATACATATTGACATATACACTGTATGTAGGTAACTATAAATCTTCGTATAACGAGAAAAATGGCCCGTTGAGGAAGGGTACAACGGGCGCTAGGCTGATAGTGCTGTCTCTTTTCTCTAAACTAAAACCAACCCACCCCCCCCACACACCACCCCCACCCCACCCCACCCCCCACCCCCCACCCCCCACCCCCACCCCCCACCCCCCCCACCCCCACACACCACCCCCACTCCCACCCCTCACCCCCACACACCACCCCCTCCACACACCGCCCCCCACCCCCCACCCCCCCCCAAAAAAAAACATGTCTACCGTCCCATTCAACGAAATATAATTATATACTTTTTCCAGTGTCCGCCCCCTCCCAGAAAATTCTACCCCCGCCCCCGAAAATTTCAAGTACCCCCACCCCTCTCCGGGGAGGAAAAAGTCTGAAAGAAACACTGAAACCAACCCACCCCCCCCCCCACACACCACCCCCCACCCCCCCACACACCCCCACCCCCACACACCACCCCCCACCCCCCCTCCCCCCACACACCACCCCCCCACCCCTCCACCACCCCCCACCCCCAATAAAAACATGTCTACCGTCCCATTCAACGAAATATAATTATATACTTTTTCCAGTGTCCGCCCCCTCCCAGAAAATTCTACCCCCGCCCCCGAAAATTTCAAGTACCCCCACCCCTCTCCGGGGAGGAAAAAGTCTGAAAGAAACACTGAAACCAACCCACCCCCACCCCCCCCACCCCCACACACCACCCCCCCACACACCCCCCGCCCCCCAAAAAAAACAACATGTCTACCGTCCCATTGCAAGAAAACCACTTTTTAGATTAGACACATTAATTAGGCGGTAATTTTATTATAGAGTATCGATGAGGAAATTTCTTTTGAGTTGGGGAGGGGGGGGGGGGGGGCTCAGACGTTCTTACGCGGGGGGTGGGGCTTCGCCCCTACCCGAAGAATTGTATGCAAGAAACTCTTCACGCAAACCATTTAGATTAGACAACATTTCCTTTTTACTTTCTCGTATATACGTAGTATAGAGAAAGTATTGTAATCGTGCAAAAAAAAAAAATCGAGATTTTTACAAATCTCGACGTTTTACACCTCACTGATACGGAAAAACATAATTTTGCAATCTTGTCCGTATGTCTGTGTGTGTGTGTGTCTGTCTGTCTGTCTGTCTGTCCGTGTGTAAACACGATAACTTGAGTACCGTTACAGCTAGGTTGATGAAATTTCATATATAAGTATTTTATCAAAATCGTAGATCCATATCAACTTTTGAGCGATTTCCGATAACCGGAAGTGGTACTTTTCCTACTTTGAATTTTTCAAAAGTCTATAACTTGAGTACTATTTCAGATAGATAAATGAAATTTCACATGTAAGTAAAAGATCTAATTCTCTACCTTCTGTTAAATTTTGAGTAATTTCCGTTGACTGGAAGGAGTAATTTACGCTACTTCCGATTTCTCAAAAAACTAATGTAAATTTTTAAAGTACTAATAATATTGCGCACTATTATACGCGTTTTTATTCGGCGTTTGCTTGGTGCGCAATGTTTTTTTTATGAGATTCTATTCTATTTTTAAAAGTTTAAGTATTTAAAATGGATTAAAAATCATAACTATATCCCCAGTTACCATCCCCTGTTGTTTTATATAAGAATATTCGAGAAAGTTTAGGGGAGATCACTCCCGGTTTATTTTCAATGTTTACGCGACAATCAATGACGTCATTACATTACTGTGTGCACTCTCTGGTTTGAGATTATGTTCTACTCTACGCTAAATGTGTCGACGTCATATTTCGTTTTTCGAATTACTGTGCATGTTTTTAAATTGCTTGTGTTTTCTCTAGAGCGTTCTTGTCAGACAGAGCGTTCTTGTCAGACAGACAGCGAAACTATATTTTAACCACGAGAAAAATGGCCCGTTGAGGAAGGATACACCGGGCGCTAGGTTGATAGTGCTGTCTCTTTTCTCTAAACTAAAACCAACCCACCCCCACCCCCCAACACCCCCCACCCCCCCCTCCCCCACCCCCCCGACCCCCCAAAAAAAACATGTCTACCGTCCCATTCAACGAAATATAATTATATACTTTTTCCAGTGTCCGCCCCCTCCCCGAAAATTCTACCCCCGCCCCCGAAAATTTCAAGTACCCCCCACCCCTCTCCGGGGAGGAAAAAGTCTAAACTAAAACCACCCCCCACACACACACACACCACCCCCCCCCCCCCCACACACACACCACCCCCCCACACACACACACCACCCCCCCCCCCCCCCCTAAAAAAAACATGTCTACCGTCCCATTCAACGAAATATAATTATATACTTTTTCCAGTGTCCGCCCCCTCCCCGAAAATTCTACCCCCGCCCCCGAAAATTTCAAGTACCCCCCATCCCTCTCCGGGGAGGAAAAAGTCTGAAAGAAACACTGGTGTCGCGCTTAGCCACTACCCGAAGAATTGCATTAAAGACATTGCAAGAAAACCACTTTTTAGATTAGACACATTAATTAGGCGGTTATTTTATTATAGAGTATCGATGAAGAAATTTCTTTTGTGTTAGGGAGGGGGGGGGGGGCTCAGACGTTCTTACGCGGGGGGGGGGGGGGGGGGTGGGGCTTCGCCCCTACCCGAAGAATTGTATGCAAGAAACTCTTCACGCAAACCACTTAGATTAGACAAAATTGCCTTTTTTGAGAATCAATGACGTCATATTACTGTGTGCACTCTCCGGCTTGAGATGCTAAATGTGGCGACGTCATACTTCGTTTTTCGAATTACTATGCAGGTTTTTAATTTGCTTGTCTTTTCTCTAGAGCGTTCTTGTCAGACAGATAGATAGATAGATAGACAGACAGCGAAACTATTATTATAGATTTTCATAATAAAGTGAGTTTTTGCCGCTTTTTGTACACCCACCGCGCTTCACTTCACTTCAATTCACCTCTCTTCACTTCACTTAATCCTGTGTGGTCCCTAGGGTGCAAAGAGCTGCGACACTCACCGTTCTCCTAGCCCTTAAAACCTGGCTACGCTCTAGCAAAATGTAATATATAAAATAACAAATATCTATAATATAATACCAAGGAGGGAGTAGTCGAATGGCAGCTGGAAAGTCTCGATTTCGAATCCACTTTCAAGTACGTAAAACGTTCCTGATGGGAAGGCTACTTAACTCGTGGTAAGGAAAGTAAAGGCGGCTAGGCATAGTGCTGACCACACTATCTCTTCATATGCCGAGGTCACAGAAACAGGTGAACTCTACTTCAGTTGCCCCATGGACCTTAGGTTTGAAATGGAACTTTACTTTTATATTATAATACGACTTTGTACACGCATAATAGTAGTATGAGAAACAAAGACATCGAAAACAATTTACGGTGTTTAAAAAAATATAATAAAAAAATATAATAAAAAAATATTTAAAAAAAATAATTAAACATTATCAGCGCATAGTATTTAATTCTTGTTTTTACCCGATGATTTTTTGACCAATACTTTCTAATCATTCGCGACATATAAGCACATCAACTCTACTTTCCCTACCTACCGCCGAAAAAAAATTGGACGTATCGACAATGAATTGCGGTTTGTAGCTTTAAGTTAAACGGCCATCATTTCGCGGAATAAATCCGCCAATCGGCGACGCGATCCTCCATATCACGTGACCGGGGGGACTCCCGTGATGCACCGCAATCAAGGGCGACAACCGTTATCGTCTGAGCGCGGGAACAAAATTATCCACGACCTGTGACCCACGAGTCGAACTTAGGGAGTCGGAAATTGGAGGAAGAAAAAAATTCCGGTAAACGGTTTGTGTGTGTGTGCGTGTGTGTGTGTATGTGTTTCTGAAACAATCGATGCGAGCATTAACACCGTCGATGACGTCATGAGCTGAAGTAAAATTAAAACTCATTAAAATAATTACTAACTGCAGCTGTTGATGCGTTTATTTAAAAAAAGAAATTAAGTCGATATTTTTTTTTTAAATCGAAAAAAATAATTTAGAGCCAACATTACGAAATGCGAACATATTCAGATCACGTGATAGCTATATATAGATTTTAAAATCTAGGGAATTACTTTAAAAAAATTAATGTAAAAAAATTCAAGAAACAAAACATTAGCCTCTTTATATCAGATGATTGAAAAAAAAGCGAATTATTAATTTTTAATTAATATAATTCGTGTTTGGCGTTTATTGCCCACTAGGTTTCGAACTGATGACGTTAGGGTTAGCAAGCATGCGTTCTACCGCACGACCACGACGCCCCCACTTCACAGGTTGCATCAACTCAACCAGTTCATCCTGTTGAGCTATTTCACAAAGACCCCCACCCACATCTGTTTTATAATCTCACGCTTTATCGCTAGACCAAGCAGTCCCTACAACATATGTTGCATTAACTCAACAAGTTCATTCTGTTGAGCTATTTCACAAAGACGTTTTATGGTATCGTATCATCGTTACATCTTTTCATTTCATTATTTCTTCAGATTCCAAGAAGTAATTACAAGTAACAGCAAGCCTTGACCCAGACCTGTCCTGACTTATTAAACTGTCAAGTCATTTGCCCAGACAGTGTCAAGTGTGGATGACTTTGGATATATGGTCTAGGATGCCAAATAAAACGACAAGTTTTTCGCCTTTCTAAGAAAAACAACAGACAAGTTAACTGGTTGATGGCCAAAGGTTTTCCCAACATATTAAATCCCTTCAGAGATCCAGTGTGTTTATAAGGCGTGTAAAATTTCTAGTTTAAAAGTTTAGTTGTTTTTTGTGTGTTAAAATTTTAGACGACTATTCATCGGTGTCCAAAGCATTTAACAAACCTGTATTACAAATCGATATCAATCAATACGCAGAAATTGCAACTCGCGAGATATCCAACACATCCATTCCCCCACAAGCGAGGTAGCTCCGGCATCAACTGTACTATTCTCGAGATATCTAATACGTCAAACAGTAAATCTATAGAGATCCAACACGCTATATCGAGATATCTAACAAGTCATCAGTTCAATTCTTTCGAGATCCATCACCTCAACTGTAGGATTCTCGAGATCTTTAACGTCATCAGATCAATTCTCGAGATATCTAACACACCAAAAAGGTTAAATTCTTTATAGATCTAACACATCAACTACCATTCTCGAGATATCTAACTCGTCAACAATTCGATTCTCGAGATTCCTAACACATCACCAATTCGATTCTCGAGTTATCCAACAAATCTACGGTTCTCGAGATCTCCAAACCATCCTACCCTAACTCACCGTGAAGCAAATCTCCACACCCAGCATGACCTCAGCGTGCTGTGAATTAAGTGCCCAACACACCATCCTAAAACACAGGTAGATGGACACCACTTCCAGCAGAACAGCATCGCACTTTTAGCAGAAGCAGGACACCAGCCACCATGCCGTCAACATCCCCAGCCAGCGAGCTGTCGCCCAACACCATCCGGGTCAAGCTGACCAAACAGAGATATGGAGGCCTGGGGTTTCTGGTCAAGCAACGGACGCTCAAGCCTTATGTGTTGGTGGCGAGCATTGTTAAAGGGGGCGTGGCGGAGGAGAGTGGACTCGTTCAGGTAGGTCTCAGACATGTTACCGTTGATTATCCTGGATTATGTAGGTGTCTGTCCTGTTTTTATCCTGGATTAGTTCATGTAGGTGTTAGTCCTGCTGTTTGTATCCTGGACTAGGTCATGCAGGTGTGTATTTCCCCCCTCCCCCATCGTTAAATAGTAATGGCTGGAGTTACCCTCATTGCAGTAGGTAAGGGCTAGGCCACATATGAAGCCACGCACAAAGGAAGCGACGATATCTTATATAGAGCAATCTATCACCCCCTTGCGAAATAGAAAAAAAAATTATATAGACATAAAGACAGACCTAGATCAGTATCCGTCCCCCTCAGAGTTTCCTCCAGGCATCTCTTCTGGGGGGGAGGAGGGGGGAAAGGGAAAGAAAGTCTACCGCCCCCACCCCAGGAACGAAAGAGAATTTATAAAGAAAATATATACTTTTAACAGTGTCCGATGCCCCCCCCCCCTTCCGAAAATTTCTAGTGCCATCCTCCCCCGGAAAAAAAAAGTCTGTAAGAAACACTGCTCCCCCCAATATAGATGGTGTCTCTGGTGTCATAATGTTTTAAACTCATATTGTATCACATCCTCTCCTTTGAGAATCCCTGAGACAAACCCAATCCCAATAACACACAAACACAGAGCGACACAACAACACGTTAAACGGTTATTGATCGACGAAAATCAATCAGACATCGACAGCGGATCGAATTCAATCACTAAATTAATGATGGCCAATTTCCGAGAAGACACTGGGCCTGCACCACGTGGTTCCCGTCAAACAAACACTTACAGTTTTGTTCTCACTCGCGGAAGAGTTCTATTTCAACAATCATGTACTTTACAGTCTGAAGAGCTCCCGTAATAGCAGAATTTTGCTTTCATAACTGCAGTCGATTTTGCATGATAAACAGTACCTTGTGAATGTGTGTGTCTATGTGTGCTAGAGAGTGATTGTGTGTGCCTGTGTGTGTGTTTGGGGCATAGTGTATGTGTGTGAGTTAGCGAGAGTGAGAATGTGTGTGAAGTAGGCAGTGTTTGAAAAAAAAAAATACAACGTACACACAATCCATTATGCCGGCTAGTGACTTGGAATTTAGAATCTTTTAAAACCATCGGCTGGATTTTACAGTATCGCTGATCATTTAAGTATCGTTAGTTTTTTCAGTATCGCAGAACATTTAAGTATCGAAGGATATAACAGTATCATATGATATTACAGTATCGTAGGATACTACGATATCGCTGCTCATTACTGTATTGTAGGATTTTACAGTATCACAGAACATTTAAGTATCGTAGGATCTTACAGTATCGCAGAATAATACCAAAATCTCTGGTCATTACAGTATCGTAGGATTTTACAGTATCGCAGAACATTTAAGTATCGTAGGATATTACAGTATCGCAGAACATTTCAGTATCGGAGGATCTTACAGTATCGCAGAATAATACCAAATCGTTGGTCATTACTGTATTGTAGGATTTTACAGTATCGTAGAACATTTAAGTATCGTAGGATATTACAGTATCGTAAGATAATACAGTATCGGAGGATAATAAATTATCGGAAAAACATTGCAACATCAAAGAATATTACAGCATCGGAAGTTATTACAGTATCGTTGGATATCACGGTATCGTAGGACACTACAGTATCGCATTCTATTACGGTATCGCAGGATATCAAAGCCCCATGTTATATTTAGAATCTCTGTTAGGATAAGTATATTGATACTAGCTAAAATATAACACTGAAATCGGTGTTTTAATTACAACCAATTTTCAAAGTCAAACTACCTTTTATTTTGTCTGCGTGAGTCTCTTGCTTTGTAAATACTGTTGGTACATCAGTATTGTTTTTCGTTCCACTCAACCTGCTGTTGGCTGAGTTATGCAATACTCATGCTTTCTGGCACCGGATGACTTATTGATCGGGTTCAGGGTTCAACGACGTGGTTTCAGGGTTCAGCTGACTTCACGTCTTCATCGATATCAAAGGTCGAAAGTCTAGTTGCCGTATTGGTCCATTGGTCGAAAGTCTAGTTGCCGTGTTGACTAGGTCCATTGGTCGAAACTCATCGTCTTGTTGATGATTTTCATTGGTCGAAACTGTAGTTGTGTTGACGATGTTCATTGGTCGAAACTGCAGTTGTGTTGACGATGTTCATTGGACGACAATGAAGTTTTTTGTATCAGGCTACTTATTATTTTACACTCCTACTGTCAAACATTAATTCACACACACCCTCCCCTATAATGTTGTAGTAAAATTACTTGACTGAAAAACCATTAGCCAGCCATAAGCATTATCCCCCCCCCCCCCTAAGCGTTGTATATTTCAAGACAACAGACTGACACACCACGACACTATGCACAAAACGACATCAGATATAAGACACAAGACATAAGACACCATATACACTACGATACTCGTCATATACCAGAAGACCCCAGGAAAACCCTGACACCATACACCCAACTACACCATGCACACACCAACATCAAACACCGGACACCTGACACGTCATGACACCAGACACCAGAAGAATCCGAACACCAAAACCACAGAAACACCACACCGAACGAAAGCGACATTAACATATACGCTCAGAAAGCAACGAGCCATTTTAATCGCTATTGATCTTTAATAGCGCTAATTTTAAAATTTAAAAAAAAAACACTGGCGCAATTTGATTATATTTGTGTTGAAGTGTTAGATCAGGATGGCGCAATAGCCGTTATAAAAAAATCTATTATCTCCCTGTAATGATTATCTCTATACAAGGGGGGCAACAAGAAAAGCCTGTGGAAAATTAAAGGGAAGTAAGAAAAAAATCGTATAATTTGTGATATTATAGTAACGAGGGTGAGTGTTGAAAATAAAATAGACGGGGATCGATTCCATCTTTCCCTTGAAGTAAAAACACATTGAGTTTTAAAACTACAACAGTGAAGTGTAGACGTTACTAGCTGATCGACCCGGCGTTAAACACAGCTAGGTTTTGGTAGCAAGTGCTAACAGCTATTAGGCTAGTTTATACAACGGGTAGTAGCGGCAGAGGGGTAGATTTCTCCACCTCATATTATATGAAGGTAGTTATAGACTGGCGATAGAAAGTAGTTGATGGCGGTTGGTTTTTTTTTGTGTTTTACAAATAAAGATGTAATTTTGTTTTATGCTCTGAGCTTTATATGCGATGTTTTACATTTTGATCTAATCTGTAATTTTGTCTTGCTGACTTAAAGATGTAATTAGATTTTGCACTCTGATCTACACATGTAATTAGCTGTACACTCTGACCTACTTATGTAATTTAGGTTTACACGCTGACCCACATATGTAGTTGTACACTCTGACACTTATTAAATTAAGGTTTACACACTGACCCACATATGTAGTTCTACACTGACACTTATTAAATTAAGGTTTACACACTGACCCACATATGTAGTTCTACACTCTGACCTACTTATGTAATTTAGATTTACAATATGACCTACTTATGCAATTTAGTTTAACACTCTGACGTACTTATGCAATTTAGTTTTACACTCTGACCTACATATGTAATTTCGTTTTACACTTACTCGCGCATCAAATTTAGTTTTGCGCTATGACCTACATATGTAATAGCATTGTACACTCTGACATGGTATAAAATATCTAATCCGGTAAAAATTGATTTAAAAAAAACCGAATCAAAAAATATTTCCTCATCATAAACTACACGCGTCCAATTCAGCCCAAAGTCAACCTTGAGTGAATCTCATCCTTGAGTGAACTCAATCGCTGAGTGATGTATTCACTAACGTGTCAAGAATCTCCCCCAATCGCGTCAAAGTCTGGATTCACTTCACCGACTTCAACGGGATTGGCGTCGTGTCGTCATCAGATGGTTATCACCAGACCGTGACCACGTGACAGGTTCTCTATTCCAACCGCTCCACCTACCGGGTGAAATGAACATAAGCCTCGACGATTGAAGCTGCTAATGTTAATAATAATAAAAAAAATAGAGAGCTAGTCACCGTGGCCCTAGCATTAAACGAAATGACGAAAGGCAGGGGCGTAGCGAGGGGGGGGGGCGGGGGTGCGGACTGCACCGGGTGACACCATTTAGGGGGGGGGGGTGACACCAAGGCAAAAAATAGCAAAATATATAGAGAAAACTTGAGGGGGGTGCAAATCGAAAGTTTGAGGGGGGGGGGGTGCAAATCGAAAACTTGAAAGTTTGTCCCCGGGAAGGGTCGCTACTCCTCTGGGGGGTGACACCATTAAGTGACACCCGAACTCGCTACGCCACTGATGACAGGTGATGTTGCAATAAAAATACGCGCGATGCTCTTTCAGTACTTTGTCGAGAGCTGTTAAAGCGAGATGCTATAAGATCCTTATCTCAACAAAACTGGTCTTTGTGTTAATTAACTTTGTGAGATGTAGCCTACTTAAAACGAGATGAAATAAGGCAATAAAAATGGTTCTTATAAACCAAATATTGAGGCGAGATGTATCCAAAGCGAGAATTTAAAAAATCTCGCGTCATTAAAAATTGTACCACAAACTATTGAGGCGAGATGTATGTGAAACGAGATGGAATAAATAGGGAGTGATCTCCCCTAAACTTTTTCGAATATTCTAATATAAATCTACGGGTGATGGCAACTCGGGATACAGACATGATTTTTAATCCATTTTTAATTACTTAAACTTTTAAAAATAGACTAGAATCTCGTAGAAAAAAAAAAGAATGTCGCACTAAGTTAACGGCAAACAATATGTGTATAATTGTACAGAATACTAGTACTTTCTAAATTGATATGCGTTTTTTGAGAAATTATTACTTCCGGTCAACGGAAATCACAAAAAAATTGTGTAGAGAATTTGATCTTTTACTTATTCGTAACATTTCGTTTATCTGTCTGGAACAATATTCGAGTTATAGGGTTTTAAAAATCTACCGTTTTCCGCAAATCGCTCAAAAGTTGATACAGAACTAAAA